AATTTGATGGGGGGGAGGGCAGAAAAGGGTAGATGGAAAGAAAAAAACAGCAAAATGTATACTGAAAAACAAAGGAAAAGAGAGAGAGAGAGAATGTCTGTATATATACAGGAAACATTTTACTGAAAGGTATTTATAACTCACTGTTACAAACATAACATAATATAACATGATGTTACAAGTACCTGTATCACTGCACCACACCCCTTGCAACTATTTTTATTTCTTTAAGTCGCATCTGGGGTATTTAATAACACTGTCAAACAACTATATTTGTAAACACCGTAAATAATAGTTTACCATGTCCGTTTTGATACACACACTTGCCTCAGGAACACACTTTGGGATCCTCATCCTTACCCCCAAGGTAGATGAAGGACAAGTGACTTGATCAAGAGCACAGCGAAAAGTCAATGGCGACAGTGTGAACAAAAGCCAGGTCTCCCAAGTCCCAAACCCACACTGCATCCCCTTAGTGTGGGTCCACTTATCCATCCACTTATCTCTCAGACTAAGAAGAATTTAGTACCCTTGTGAAGCTCTGATTAGAATAAAATCAGCAAAATATTTGCAGTCCCTATAACCTAAAAAACATTTTAAAATGCTATATTCAAACACAACCTTTTTTTGTTGAATTCACAGATACTCGCTTAATAACTCAAGACACAGCAACCACTCTAGCAAAAGCAGGGTTTTCATTTGTAACCTTTGTTACAAATGCTTTGCTCTTCTTTATTCAGTTACACCTAAATGTTTTGAAGATGCATGTATTTTTCAATATATAGAAATTTCATCTTTTTTTCTTTTTAACCAGAACTGCAGTTACTGTGTCCTGTACAGTCAGGAAAAACCTCACTGTGGGTTCAACATTAATACCATTTAGGCCAATAGAAATATAATAAATGAAAACACTGCCTGAATTCTTAAAGAGAGCGTGCTAAGAGAGATACCTGGCTGATAGCAAAGACTACATGTAACCTACATAAGAAGATCTAGGGTGGTGGAAAAAAGCAAGGGGCAAGGTGAAAGATAATACTTCTCCCTTCCAGCTGTAAGAATAAGTAGGGTAGGTTCAAATTTCTCAGACAGCTGGAGGTTAAAAAACATGAAGCTTCAAGCAGGATTGAGGGACAGCATACTGGTAAGGTTTCCACCACTCTCTCCTTTCCTAACAGGCAAAGTGCATGGAAATGATGAGGAAAGAAAACCCATTTATTTTCTTGCCTCAGTAATGCCCATGGACAATGGAGTCCAACAATTTAGTTCAGAGCTCTGGCTGCTGAGTATCTGGTAATTTTTTCAAGTTGTGGTTACAAGACCCTTGGCAGATGAAGGTTGAAAGTATATGCAAGTAGATAGGTTGGCAAGATATTAATAAAAAGTCAGGGGGAAAAAAAGCTGGTACATGATTTCTGTTTATTTAAAGAATCAGAGCAAAAAGCAAAAAAACAGGGAATGAATTTGATGGGGGGGAGGGCAGAAAAGGGTAGATGGAAAGAAAAAAACAGCAAAATGTATACTGAAAAACAAAGGAAAAGAGAGAGAGAGAGAATGTCTGTATATATACAGGAAACATTTTACTGAAAGGTATTTATAACTCACTGTTACAAACATAACATAATATAACATGATGTTACAAGTACCTGTATCACTGCACCACACCCCTTGCAACTATTTTTATTTCTTTAAGTCGCATCTGGGGTATTTAATAACACTGTCAAACAACTATATTTGTAAACACCGTAAATAATAGTTTACCATGTCCGTTTTGATACACACACTTGCCTCAGGAACACACTTTGGGATCCTCATCCTTACCCCCAAGGTAGATGAAGGACAAGTGACTTGATCAAGAGCACAGCGAAAAGTCAATGGCGACAGTGTGAACAAAAGCCAGGTCTCCCAAGTCCCAAACCCACACTGCATCCCCTTAGTGTGGGTCCACTTATCCATCCACTTATCTCTCAGACTAAGAAGAATTTAGTACCCTTGTGAAGCTCTGATTAGAATAAAATCAGCAAAATATTTGCAGTCCCTATAACCTAAAAAACATTTTAAAATGCTATATTCAAACACAACCTTTTTTTGTTGAATTCACAGATACTCGCTTAATAACTCAAGACACAGCAACCACTCTAGCAAAAGCAGGGTTTTCATTTGTAACCTTTGTTACAAATGCTTTGCTCTTCTTTATTCAGTTACACCTAAATGTTTTGAAGATGCATGTATTTTTCAATATATAGAAATTTCATCTTTTTTTCTTTTTAACCAGAACTGCAGTTACTGTGTCCTGTACAGTCAGGAAAAACCTCACTGTGGGTTCAACATTAATACCATTTAGGCCAATAGAAATATAATAAATGAAAACACTGCCTGAATTCTTAAAGAGAGCGTGCTAAGAGAGATACCTGGCTGATAGCAAAGACTACATGTAACCTACATAAGAAGATTATTTCAAACACTGTCATAAATCCATTCAACCCCCTTAAATAGTTATATTTTACTGGTGAGTAACCCCTGTAATATCTGAGCATAATGCAGTATAACAAACAAGACAGCACTACATACAGCATGAAAGAAATCAAGCTCTTGAGACAGGGCAACAGCAAAGCACTGCTCTTATATAAATCAAAACATTGGTAGCGTAATACCCCACATAAAATACATAAATAGCCCTACTGTAAAACCAAAACATGCACCTTTTCAGCACCTATACCACAACCCTTCAAACACCCTGAAACCATATGCCAGGAAAAAAAGGAAGGCACTTCTATGGAATCGATGAACAACTGCTGGCAGTAGGAGAATGAAATACAATGACAGTTTCTCTATTCTAATAAGCAAGTTGTATTGGGGATAATTCACACAAGGCATGTAAAGCATACAAGGCTGAGCTTTTTCACCTTACTGTGATTCCCAAGCAGTGCACCCTGGGGTAGCATGAGATCCTTTGAAGGGTGTGCCAGGAGATAAGCAGATAGACACAGGCTCAGGCTTGTCCCTGCCTGGCCAGTCTCCCACCTCAGCTGCCCAGCCCCTCTGCAAGGAGGTCAGCACCATAATACACAAATCAGGTTTTGAAACTGGGTGCCACTCAAGGCATGGAGGGGGCCTCGAGTCCAAAAGCAGTTGAGAACCACTTGTGCAGAACTAAAGTAGAAGTGAGCAAGAGATTCTACGCTTGGTGTGTTTGAAGTACTGGTGGATCATATCAGCCTGCTTGGGCTGTGGAAGCTGCAGACTAAGGAGAGGCCCCAGGACTGGAAATACCCAACTCTTCCCCTGGAGCTCTGACTGAGCCATGATTTTCCCTTTGGCTCCAGCTTTCCTGCCCAGGGTCTGGCACACACTGCCTAGGGGTGGAGGTGAGAATCCACATGAAGCTGGGCCATCTGTTTGCTGCCTGTCAAAGCTTCTACCACGGGCATCTCCCCGGGACCCTCCCACTTGATTCTGCAGAAGGGCTTCAAAGGCCACCTGCATCTTAGTTGGGGATGGTCCTGCTCTGAGCAGAGGGTTGGGCTAGATCCACATTTCCCAGCCCATTGGGTCACGACCCAAAAGTGGGTCACAAGAATATTTGAAAGAGTCATGAACAAACTTGAAAAACGGATTCCTCCTTTAAAGGAGAAAAACGTGGGAAACCGTGGGTTTTCCTTCACAGGCTGGCAGAGTCCCAGCCTGCAAGGGGCTACATGGGGCCCCCCAGCCCCACACACTGGGGGCAGCAGGTCAGGAATGAGGGGCGCTGGGTTGCACTGGCTGTCAGCCTTTACAAATGTGTCTTGCTACATAAAAGGTTGAGAAGCACCGGACTAGCGACCTCCTACGGTCCCTTCCAGCCCTCACTTCCTAGGGTTTCTGAGACCAAAGGGGGGCAACTGCTACAGAAAAAGAAGCGGGCGCGGGGGCCGGTGCCAGGGCAGGGCCGGTCCTGTCATTCCCGGCGCAGAGCGAGATGAAAAGGGCTCGAGCCGCGCGCTCCTGGGGGCAGCTCCGGGCCACACGCGGCAGAGGCGGCAGCGCGGCGCGGGGCGGCACAAAGAGCGCGGGATGACCCCGGGACCCGCAACCCCCCGCCCCGCCCCGGGGGCACCACACCACACCCGCCGGGGCAGCCCAGCCCAGCGCCTCCTGCCAACCGCCCCCCGCGCGCGGCGGCGTGGAACGCGCCCGGAGGGGGGAAGGGCGGCGGAGCTCTCCGAAGGCTTCACAATAGGCGCGCGTGTGCGCGCGCGTGGGGGGAGGGGGCGTGGCCTCGCCCCCGACCACTCCGCAGCGCAAGGCGCTGTTTCCCCGCCCCTGCCGCGGGCTGCGTGACTCCGGCCCTCCCCACTCCTGCACGGAGGGACTTCGCCCCGATTTCACCGCCCCTTCACCCCCCTTCCCGCGCGAGGGCAGGTGGTACAGTCCAGCTCACTGGCTTAGCGCCGGGGAGAGAGGGCGAGGTTGGCTGAGTGGAGTGGGGGCTGGAGCAGAACGGGTGTATTGTGACGTATCGGAAGCCGGCTCCCTGCAGCCAATCAGAGCAGCCAAGGCGGGGCTATGAAGGGAAGGGGGCGGGGCGGCCAGTTGGTCTAAGCGGTGTGGGAGGAGCGCGAATTACAGGTTGGCTCTCAGGTGTAAGCCGGACGGAAGGCGAGCGCTCCAGTCGTGGGTCTCTGCGGTGAGCCGTGCGCATGCGCATAAATCATGCAGTCGGGATTTCTACCCCCCGCAACGGTTCTAAAATACCCGCCGTCGCCTCGGGAACTAGCTCAACCGTCGCTTCAGCACGCCGGAGGGGGCCGGTGCCTCCAATATGAGCGTGTTCCAGTTGCGGAGCCCTCAGCAAGGCGGGTGAGGGAACCCCACCAGTGACGTCATGGTGGCGCGGTGCATGCTGGAACTT